CCCCCCCCCGCCTTCTCCAGGCGGCCCGCGGGCGCGCAAGCCGAGGTGCTGAACCGCGGCCTCCCAGCCCAGTGGCGCAGCAGGGAGCATCACCACCTGCGGTCGGCGCCGCAGGACTTACTGCTCTGAATGCTGGGAACTGTTGACTTTGGCGTCGCTTCTGTTTGCCATGGCAATTGCCTTTTTGTTTACCGTGTGGCCCGTTGTTGCAGCGGGCCGTTAGTAACGGGCTCTGGGCTAACATCCTCATTTAAGACTACAAAGAGCCTGGTCCTTTGAGAACTCAACTGCCACAAAGTAAAAAAGCAGCACGTAGCCTGCGGACTGCCCCTTGCACAGCAGGCACTCAATAAACGCCCGCTTTTGTTGCAAAACCTGGTTTCACACTTCATCAAAGATGTGGGGCTGTATAGTTGGACTCATCACACACACACACAAAATTCTAGAAAGTTGAAAAGCCAACTCGTTCTACTCCCAGCACACCCGACTCATCAGTAACATCGTGGTGTAGCTTTTCTGGTGTGACTCTTTTTAAGAGCAAATCCTGTTAACCTCATCCCAGATGCACTATCATAGCCAGTTTTCTCTCCCATTTTTGAGCACCTTTGAGTTTGGGGGCCACCACTTCACGTCTGAATGCATTTAACCTGTCTGCTGTTGTTGAATATTAACTTTATTTTGATCCATGATATGGTGCTTGTGCTTCTGCCCAATTACGTCCTTGGGATAAGCTGCAAGACAGTGAATCTCTAGAATATAAAGTAAATGCAGTTTAAGGTTTTGATGGGTGCCATCAAATTGCCCTCTGGGAGAATGTTCTCTTCCTTTCCATGACCTCCCTACCACCTCATTTCTCTTGCAAATGTCAATCTGACAACTTGCAGTGGAAATGGCATGTGGCCACGCACATGTCTGAACCCTATGAGGGAAGTTCAACTGCTTTCACTTGACCCCTTCTGCCCAGTAACCCTGGCAACCAAGTGGGAAACCACCCAGGGGAGCAGCCTCAGTTAGGCCTGAGCGCTTCACCTGTGCAGGGAGCTGTCTACAGGCCTAGAGGCTCCAGGGCTAAGTGGTCTGTGCTTTTAGATTGGCATGGCCCCAGTTAAGTGGTGACTGCAGATGTTCTAGTAGCCACATGAAATAGGTAAAAGGAAACCGGTGAACTTAGTTTTAGTATTACCTAGTAAATCCTGAAGTCCAAAAATGTAATCAATAGAGATTACACTGGCTTCAAAGTTGTTGTATTTAAATTTATAGCAAATCCCAGTTTGGACTAGCTAAATATTGCTCGGTAATCACCCGTGGTCTGGGCGCCTCTACATAGAGCAGGGGTGGGGGAAGGGCCGACCCCAAGTCCTGGTAAAGGCGGACATCTCACAGCTGATGGCTTCTCCCTGTTATATGTAGTTAACATAAACCAGCACATCTTTGCCTAACTGGGTTCACCTGAGAGAGCCAAATTTCACTCTAGGTGTCTCAGAGTTTAATCTATCCCGCATATATATCCCATGGTTAAGTCTAAAGCTGTAAACCCGGCAGATAGCAATTCCTTCAAAGGCATTGCTGTCCATGTACGAGTCCCTTCCAGATCCCTACCAGGTCTTTTAGACGTAAAGGTGGGGAGCAGGGAAAGGCAGGGGGCTTGGGCTCTGGAGAGTGGCAAGGGGGGAGGCTTTTTATACAGAAATGCCAGGCAGCTGCATTTGCCATCCATGACAACCCCTCCTTTGTGAAAACTTGTGGAAATTTCAAAAGCCAAATCACCAAGAACCGACATCCTAAAGGATTTATGAGCTCTTGCTCCTAGGTCTCCCCTTATTCATCTTTACATAACCCAGTGCCTAGAAACTCTGCAAAGTGACCTTTTAAAACTGGGCTGACTCATGAATGGCGCTGTGCAGAGGAAGACTGTCCTCTCAGGCTAAAGCCCCTTAGGTTTGAGGTGGGCACAAGCCCTTCTAAGTGTTAAAAGATGCATCCCAACTCCTTAAAAGAATCATGCACATTTTACTGCATTCACAGAAGTGACTTCTGGCTCAGTCAAGTCATCACAGAAATGTCCAGAAAGGCAAAGGTTGGACAGTGTGGCTCACCCAGCTGACGTCCCCATCTGTGGAAGCGTTCTACTCCGAACTGCCAAGGCACACGACTTCTGCATACTTGTCATCTGTTCGCAGGCACCCACGTGTGTTGAACGTTCATATTTGCTGAATGCATCCTGAGAGGAACCTGGGCTCAGAGGAGGAGGAAGAGCAGGGTGCTGCCTGATTTACAAGCCTCCCAGCTCCTCTTGCTTCCCCAGAGGCTCACAGGACGAGGGCCAAGGACTCAGTGAGTTTATCACTACAAAGCTTTTAAAAAATGGCATCACACCAGGGCCTTAATGTGAAAAAGGAAAATGATTTTGGAGAGGCTATCTGAATGCTCCTGACAAGAGAGCACTTGAGAACCTTCCTAGGGAAGCTAAAAGACTACAGTGCCTGAGTGAGAACTTGTGCAAAGCTGAGGGCAATGGGAAGTCCTGTGTTTGTGCGCCCTCCGAAGCAATCAGCAGCCATTGCAGCAAGAGCTTGATTCCCCGGACAGGGAACTGACCCACATGGCGCAGCAGACCTGTCCCGCCTCACCCGCTACTTTCCTCAGCAGTGTATTTCAGTGGATCTGCCTGTCCTGCTCCCCACTCTGTGTCTGGTGAATCCTCACCCCCCCCCCACACCTCTGGCCTGTACCCCAGAGCATTGTTATGTATAAATAAATCTTTTTAAAAGTTCCCTGGGTGAGCCTCTGCTCCTTCACCCTTGCGGGTGAGCAGTGGGTAACGGCCTCACTTCAGGGTCAGCCAGCGGCCAGCCCTGCAGCTCTTACCTGCATCTCCACATGCCCTTTTATCTGGAAAACAAAAACCCACCCTTGAGGTTCAGTAATGAGGAGCGGCTGGGCAGGCTACAGAATCACCTGCTCTGGTGAATCCCAGATGTCACTCTGGCTAATTCCTACAAGCTCTATTTGCCAAATTCAGGGGATAGCTGTGCTGGTGACAAGCCTGCTGGCTGGACTACTGGCCTACTGCCCTGGGCTGGCAGTCTCATGAAGACTTAACTCCTCTGGTAGAAGTTGGCAGCTAAGGGCCCTACTGGCACAGTCTAATTCATTGGCTTTCTGTTATGTTTATCACATGGCAAGAGCTCAAAGTCAATTAATCACCCTCATCCACAATTTTGAGCCTTTTAGTATTTCTAGCTACCCAGCAAAAGAAAAGCCCTATCAAATATGCCCTTTTCTCCCTGTCAACCCGTTCACTATTAAATCTACGATAGAAATGTTCCCCGGCAACACAGTTCTGACTTGTCTCAATACTGACATGGCCTCTGCCAGGAAATAAGCTATCTGTGGACACATGGGCTCTGTCCTAGCATACTTCTCTATGACTCAGCTGGGCGTCTTGAGGGAACCTGAAGATAGGGATTGGCAGGTGTAACTGGTCCTCTGTGGCACGACTTAACACAACACCTGTCAGAGTCCAGCATACAGCTGGTGCTCAGTATTTGTTGAGTTAATGTTAATTAAAACAGGAAAACCCCTTAAATCTACTCAGAAATAAGACCTGGTATCCCCACGTCATTCAATGTCAAATTTGCCCAGAAACATTTAAAACATTATCTCTGGGGAGACGAGTGCTAAGTTCATCTTTTGGAGAGCGAAAACGCAAACAGCCCCATCACTGAAGAGTACTAAATGCCATTTAAACTAACCTCTATCCAGACTGTCAGCACCACAGAAAATGCTGGAATGTGATGAACGCTGTCCTGAGATTTTTTTTTTGTGGGTTCTCTGACTTGCTTCCCTAATTTTCCTTAATCAAGAGGTCAGTTTTGCAATGTCATAGTTTCCAATGTAGCTGGATTTGAAGAGAGTAGGAAGAAAGTCAACATCCAGCGCCCATGTAAGGAAAAGAAATCAGCGAAAGGCTGGCAATAAGAACACAAGGGAAACCTGCTGTGAAGGGAGAGTAGCTCAGGGCAAAGCAATGCAAATTTTTATGTCAATAGCATGTTGATGTTTCTCCAGGAGTAAAAATATCCACTTAAGAGTTAGCTGGCCATCATTACCGGTAAAAGCTCAAAAAGTCTGAAGTTTTCTGCAAGTTGGTGACGTCCTCACAGATCACTATCGTCTGATACTTAAGAACAGCAGCCTTAGATTTTTAACTTAAAGTGTGTTTGTGCTTCAGAAAACAGTAAACTCTACCTCTCTACATAAAAAACCTAAGTGACTCGAGATGTGGGAGGGCCTGAGTGGCAGGAACAGGGCTGGGGCCGAGCCGCAGGACCCCTCTCCACAGGCCAGAGTGGCCACTCAGGAGACGACAAACTGGGGGGAGGGCTCTGGGGCAGACAGGAAGGAAGCAGGCACCAAACAGCAACCAGCCAAAGAACATTTATTGTGTGGAAGAGTCGGGGGATGACAGGAAGAGCAGGGCTTACTTTATTATGAAATATTTCACACCTACAGAAAAGTCACACAAGTTACAGAAGCAAGTATCTAGCAACTAGCCTGGGACGAACGTGAAGCCTATCTTCTTCAGTAACTTGGTGCAATAAAGTTACATACACAGTACAAGGCCCCCTATGCATCCTTCCTACTTCCCAGGAATTTGGCATGAATCTTTAACGCAAGATTTACATGGGAGGAAAACCTTAAGAGAACAAAGATAAAACTTCCCAACCCAATAGAAGAGTCATGAGCAAACAGAAGTGGAGGCATGGAAAAGGTCACGAAGGAAAAGGCAGACAGCAGGTTCCAGGAAACACAGGTGCGGTGCTTTCTCTCCCGGAGAGTCCAGTTTTGGCTGTCACAAGTGTCTATTTCCAGGAGAAACTGTTTCTGAAAGAGAAAAATCAACCATCACTATGCCTTATGTAAAAACTCAAACCACTACGTGATTCTTGATTTCCACCAAGCACACCAAGTATTCCCTTTGCTGCAGTCACACATGTAAGTCAGCTCTGCCAGTGAGAAATGTCACCACCGTAATGGAGCTGCTTTGTGCAACGACAGTTATCCTTTAATGTAAAAAATACTGTATGTTAACACTGTGCTGAAGTACCTGCCGTTTCTAAGCAGTTTTATCACCACAACACCCTTCTTGTTCATCCTAGCCAATTAAAACAAGTTTCTCCTGAGAGCATGAAACGCTGAAGTTTGGAATACATTTTCTCTATCTTCAGGGACAAGAATTTAAAGGCTTAAGCATTCAACTATACTTTCACCACAGTGAAGGGAGCATGCTGAAGCAGCCATGCACGTAACTTTTTCTAATCATAAACCCTTAGCTGTACCCTCGGAACCGCTCAGGGCTAGAACCACAGTGTGGTCCGTGCACAGGGCAGCGGCAGGAGGCGGCCACCCGCTCGCTCGGCCACAGCATCCTCACTGCAAGACAGGCGCTTTCCCATGGGAGTTGTAAAGCTGAAATACCTGACTAGCTGCATTCACATAGACAAATAGGTGCGCTTCACCCCACAGTAAGGGAAAAGCCAGTTAAATCATTACTCTTGAAGTCAAGTTTTTTCAAGTAATGTCTTCATTCTATCTAGAAACAACAGAAAACAGAGGTTTCATCTGAAATTGTGTGTGTAAGCACTCTCGGTATCACTATGAAAACAGACCTACAGATGAAAAGATTAAGTTAATCATACTGATTAAAAATTGGGCAACTTGGCATTAGAACTGACATCCAGACATCCTTGTCACTGCAAGTTTCTTAATTATGAACTTGAAATCATCAAAGATTTTAAAGTCAAGTCAGCACTGAAACTTAATGCACTAGAAAGGACTGACAGTTGTCACCGCCATTTTAAGTCAGTATTTATTTAAAAAAAATCAAAACTGGAGCTTGCATTAAGGACATCTAGCTCAGGAGTTAAATGTACTTTCTTAGAAACACGACGAGGACAACTGTGTATGAATTGCTCCAGAGTCTGTCTGGACCCTGCGGGGCTCCCCGGGGAGCCGAGCACTCCCAGCCACAAGGGCGGAACCCCTGCAGAGCGTGTTTGCAAATGGCTTAATGTAAACCGACTGTAACCAAGAAGGGTAAACTTATCAAGGCAATCAAAGTTCCTGTGCTCCTAGCGGGGATTTAATAAACTCAAGGTGGTAAGGAACATCTCATTTTTCTCCCAAGTTCTAACTGGCTACTGATCACAGTAGCTTCTGAAGTTCATTTTAGAACAAAGCATCTCAGATAGTAACATAAGCAGGCAAAATGCTGTATGACGGCCACAGACACACCCTCGGCCACTAGATCACCACAGCCTGAGGGGGGTGTGTTCTGTTTTGAAAGGAAATGTACCATCAGTGCAACCCATTCTCCGTTCTTGGATCTTCAGAATCTCTTCACAAACATTTCTAAGCAGTTTTTAAAGCAATGTGCTCACAAGTGAGAATTTAGTTCACATCTCCATACAAATAAATAAATAAACTTGAGGCCGAGCTTTACCTCACACTACTTTTTACAGGTCCCTCTACGAATCGGCAAGATGAACACTCATATCGGCAAAATCGAACATTAGTGGGCCCTCCCTGGTGGCGCAGCAGGTTAAAGCACAGCACTAAGTTGCTAAAGCCACTTCAGCACGAGCTCGATCCCAGCCCCAGAGGTGACCCACATGGTACAGCAGACCTCTTCTGACCCACCCGCTGCTCCCCTCAGCCGTGTACTTCCATGATCTGCCTGTTCTGCTCCCCAATCTGTCCCTGGTGAACCTTCTCACTGCCCCTGCACCTCTGGCCTGTAAACCAGTTCTGTGTGCATAAATAAATAAATCTTTAAAGAAAAATCAAACATTAGTAAAAAAAGGTTCCAAATAAAAGACAAATGAAACCTTGGGAAACAACAAAACAGTACAACCAGGCCTCAGAACATTAGGAAAGAGGTGCAGCCTCAGGAGGTGCGTCCCCGGCCTCCCCTTCCCCGCCTCCACCCCCGCCCTCCAGGACAGGGAAGCCTAGTGGTTACATAGTGGTAAACGATCACATTTGACTTACTTAACTTTTCAACAAATTTTTCATTTCAATAAATTTATTCTGGTTGGTTGGATTGTTTAAGAGGAAGAGGAGAATCTGTTCGTGCTTTTCAACCTGTAGGTAAAAAAGAACAGCATTAATGAATTGTTAAGATTGTCAGGAGTACAATTTCACTTAGACATGGTTTTACCCACCTGCTTCCGTAACTCCGAGCAGCAGCAATCCAAGCCATGTGTCTTCTCTAGAAGCAAGTGCAAAGAGTGGTCAGAAAAGACAAAACGAACATAAGCCCCAGGAATCTGATCTAGAACTGGGATTGCCGGAGGAGGAAGGTAGGGAGTAGGAATTGTTTCGTAAGAAGCAATTTGATAGCACACATTATAAATAATAAAAGACAATTTGGAGTCTGAACACAACGCAGAACTGTCCTGAGTGTGGGTCACAACTAAAAAGTTAACTCCTGAGTGAGGTCTTATTATCTACTTGCTGTGCCTGGATTTTAGCACATGAACGCCCTCATTGTCCAGGTTTTAGCAGGCAGGCCTGCCAAGTGACTGATCATCCTACCATGGCCAGTAGGATGTAATTTCAAAAATAAAAGTTACTTTGATCAGTATCAAAAGTAAGTTGGAAATAACTCTGAATTCCTGACGTTTCTAACACTCTCAACATGAGCTCCACAACAGTGCTGATGAGCCCTGTCAAGGAAATGTGGACCTGGGGAGCTGCTCCCACTGGGGACCCTGTGACGTGGCAGTGAGAAGAGCACCTGTCACTGGATTGCAAGAGGAGGAAGCTGGAGGGAGTGAGATCACAGACAAAGAGCGAGCAGGTCAACTAAGTGAATTATATGCATATATTGTTATTAATTAAACTTGGAAATTACCTTTATTTAAAACACTTTGTTTTTCTGATGCAGTATTTTTTGCCAGACCATACATCACCAACTTATCCCCTATGTTGACAGTACCATTGTCAGAACACTTCTCAACTGACACCATATGGACATTCTTAATAATTCCTTTTACTGAAAGCATTACAGTCTGATTCAACATGAAATTTTTTAGTAGCTCAATTATTAATTGTGAACAGCTTCCATTCAATTCCATTAGACCTGAGGAAAAAAATCAGAGTATTATAGTTCATCAAAAAAGATAAATTAGCTAAGGACAATAAGAAAAGGGCTCACCAGTGTTAGCTAGGTTTGGGTGTGCTTTGATGGACTGCTGTTGTTGCATTAAAAAAAATTAAACTTATTCAATAAATATTCACTGACCATAACCATGAATGTCTAGCACTAATCCAGATCCAGAGGGCACTGAACAAAGTCTGCCTTCATGAATATGTATTCTTGGGGCAGACACAGCAATAATGAAGATGATTTTCCAGCTCTGTGTCTGGATCAAAACCAAGACACTACCATAAGATGCTTTTCATCTCCAGAGAGCCATGGTGGAGCAGAAAGACCCTGGCTGACAGGGCAGCCAACCACCCTGGACACCCACCACTCACTAGCTGTGCAACCAGTCTCTGAGCCTGAGGCTAGTGAAATGAATGGTAAAACAAAAATGGAGTAGCTTGAAAGTAGTTCTGTTAGAATAAATAAAAGATATAAAATTTCTTTGTAAACTTCGTTAGACATTTAGAAAGCTGGGCAGAAAAAATGATGATACAGTCTCTGAAATTAGAAAGTAACTGGTCTAACCTTCGAGCGAACACTTAATGATCTGGAAAGGAAGTTCCAGGTGGCCAGAGGAGATGGGCTGCACTCTGGACAGAGGCAGGATTTCAGTGTTTCCATAGTCGGCATAGAGGACCTTTACGTTGGTCTCTGATGTCCCCAGGACAATGGCCCGGTACCAGAAGCCATCGTCTGGAAATACAAGGGAATTGCAGGGAAGGGGTTACACACAGTCACTTCCCTCCTCCGCTCAGAAGGTTGTTCAGGTTAACTTACGGGTCACTTAGCAATTACACCAAGATTCCTGGTTCAGAGCCCAGATAAACAGTTACTATCATCTCTACTCCCTTCTATATCTGACTAAAAGAACTACAAGATGAAGAGGACCTTAGCTACAGCAATAGAGAATAAAAGACAATGTGAAAGTAGCCAGAAACAGGTGCAGGAAAGAAGCTGACTTGGAGGAGCCCACCCGAAGCTGGCCGTGGCCCGCAGCACCCTAGTGTCCACCTCCCGGGGCCAAACCTCAGTGGCCAGTGCTGCCTACTCAAAAGTAAAAGATGAAGCCAAAAATGGGGATCGGGTCAAGGAAGCAGTTTTTTTCCCAAGACATATGACTAGACTTGAGTTTATGAACACAGTTACATAGAACAAGTGGGAGAGTCTAATATATGATGAAAGTAAAGAAAGGACAGGAGGTAAATTCTCATTGAGAGAATATACAGAGAACAGAGGAAATGAGTGAAGGTATACACAACACTAACAACACAACAAAGCTGAAGAAAAGACCTGTGCTTACAGCATGCTACCTGGGCAGGCTGTCAACAGTACCTGTGCAGTCTCCACAAAGAACACAGAGTAGTACCTAGCCAAAAATAGTACATGCTTCTACTGGAGATAAAGAGAACAAAAGTGTAGGTCCAGTTGCATACCAGAAAATAAAAATAAATAACACATTTTAAAATTACAAACCTAAATTTAAAAATGAGTGCTATCTGGGCAAAAGCCAGAAATGTTTAATTCACTGCTGGCAAAGGGAAGGTGAGATTAGTCCGCTCCAGACTTTAGGCACATAGGAGGCACAGTTCTCTAAGAGGCTCAGAGAGAAGCATGCTTCCACAGCTTGCAAAATATTTATATTCTTTGATTCAGTAATTCCAGCCCTGAAATTCACCTCAAAGTGTATAGTCAGCAAAATTTCTACTGTAACTTGTACTAGCAAAAAAAAGTCATTTAATATTTCATTAATATGAACATGAATATTAATATGAAATATTAAATAGGAGAATGTTAAAAGACATAGGATTAACTTGTCTCTTAGACAAGTTAACCTTATAGAATATTCAGTTCTATAAATTACTTGCAATTCCTCTCTGTGTAAATGTTACTGACCTGCCATATAAGTGTGGTTATCTGGTCCTGGCTATCTAGAAGCCCAGCAGGTTCGTAGGTATCAACACCTGTATCGTTGCCTAAATATAATTTCTCGCTATGCAACAGAAAAGCTGAACAGTTCTTAGACATCAATTAAACCTATGACCTTGTCTTTCTTACTGTATTGATATAGCCAAATAAAATATATATCTAAAACAACTATTCATATATCCTCACGTAAAACAATGGACAAAATAGCTTCCTTTTACTATTTTATGTAAAAGAATCTTACTTGTATATTTGGCACAGCAGGCATCTCCAATTCTTGGTTTGTAGGATGATGGGCTTTTCTGAGCATTGCAATATTCTAACAATTCAGCTGTCAATACATACAGTTTTTCTTGATAGCCTAAAATACATTAAAAAAAAACTTCTGAGAAGGAAATTTTGATCTATTCTTTATAAGTACATAAAAATATCAAATCTAACCACTCAAAAATTTTTATGTTATTGAAATATACATTTATATTCTAAAAACAGATGTACCACTATTGATTACCTTGGAAGGGAAGCAACCCCATGAGGGGCAGAAGGGGCCCTTGGCTGAGCACCATACTAGTTATTAAGTTATTAAGCTGTCCTTTTGCAATTTTTCAGTAAGGTTACAGTTAGTAATGTACTTCTCTCATCGCATACATACGTTGTCTGGATCGAGTAATCCTGTTTCTACTATACAAATCAAAAACAATTACCTGTAATGATGGTGGTTAAACTTAAGAGCAGTTAATGGTATGGCCACACTTGGAAACAAAGGTTCATTTACTTAGCTGTAAAGCACTGGCCAGTGATTCTGAAAAGCCACCACCCAAACTCACACCACAAATGCACACTCTGAGACCTCAAGGCAAAACTCAAATACATCAATGAGATGCCTTAACTGTAAATCATCATGCAACAAGAAAGGAAAATTAAGAGTTAACATGATACTTTTACTGTTAGGTCTGGTGTAAATATTTTTCTGTCCAAGCTTCTCAGCTGTAGTAACAGTAGGATTACACACCAAGAGCAAAGCAGTCTCTCACTGCCGCTAAAAGTTTCAGCACTAATTCTCTTAAATGAATGTAAAGGTTAGCATGATAAATACAACTGAATATATACAGCATCTATATTAAGTCAGAAATTAAACAAGAATTAAAGACACTGCTTAGTTGTAAAAGCTGCAGACGGTCAAGACCAGCTGGAGCGGGGCACCCCACCCCCACCCCCCACCCCCACATTCACATTTAGTTTTTACAACTAAATCTGCCTGAAGGGTCATTATGATCAATTCTCCCCTAAAATTTTGAGTGAAACAGAAACCATCACTCACCTCACCCTGGCTCTTTCGCCAGACAGTTAAAAAGGCGAACATCAGTGCCTGAGATACTGGTTTCTTACCTTGCGTATCACTTGGGAGGGCATAAAACAAGTGTGGATTTATGATTTCTAATATGTTCGCTTGTATCTTTTTATTAATGGGAAATTCTATTGTTTTCCACTGACCAGCTGAGGAGAGGACTGAAAACACAAAACACAAGTTTCGCATGAAACACAACAAATTTAGTAGCTTTTACGGTACTGTATTTATTCATTCAATCAGTTATTCATCAAGAACTGATTATCAATAACCTCAAATTCACAAAATTAAAATTTTCAGAAAATGCTCTTTTCAGCTTGAGGGATTTCTCTGGCATACAAAAACATAACCCTTCCACTACTCCCGTAGTACATTTCCATCTCTATCATACATTTAACATTTACTCAAACGTTAGGGGCTACGAAGCTGTATGATGTTAAGTTTAGCCACTGAGTGACTTTATTACAGATGAACACGTGCTTGTCCAATAAGCCATGCTTCCTTAAATTTAGTTTGGCTTTACCATCTACTCCTCTGTTCCCACAAAGCTATTTCTATAGGGTAGCTATGTCACGCATATGAGAAGACGTTTCACCGTGTATGAAAGCAAAGGGTGACATCTATTTCAATCAAACGGTTCTAAATTTACCTTGGAGCCTTGGGGTGTCAATTTGAAGATCTTGTTTATAAAAAGGTCTGTTATTTGGCAAGTCTTTTTGTGGTGAACTAGGTTTTAAAGCCAGTTGTTCATCAATGAGAATATCACTAATTATTCTGGGATAAGCAGTGGAAAGATCGGTGAGTTCAATTCCCACTCCATTTTTAGCGATTTCAACCACCCGTGCCTGGAGTTTGATGCCTGCAACACACGTCTGAAATCTTGCAATGGCTTCCTTAGACCAGTGTTCATTTCCAGGCTGGACATCTGGTAAATAAGACACAGCATTAAAGAGCACTCCTGGTCCGAACTGCAGTTCTGCTCCAGCAGCGTCCAGGACTGGGGTCAGGGCAGAGATACTCGGTCCTGCCTCCATGCAGAGTTACTGATGATGACTTGTAAACACACTGCTAGGGTTTTACATGCTCTGGATCTTTCTTTACTTTCCCCACTAACCTATCTTCACTTGGCACTTTTCTAACAGCCAAAACTAGGATGATTGTTTCTTTTAGAAGCCGTCTTTTGAGTTCTGTCACTTACATAATGCTGAATTACCAATGATGCTGGCAGAAAATGTCAAGCATACACTTTCACTTTTGTGGACAGTTTTCTAGTGACAATTTCACAATGTCATTGTAACTTCCTTAATCAAAAATTGTTTTTCTGTGGACAAATTTGGTTAATTCCCTCATATCAGCCAGTGGCCTGCATACCTGAATGTGCATCTGACTTGCACAACATACCTCAGGCCCCACCCCAGCTCCAGCTGAGTGGCAACTCTCAGGTGGGGTCTGGAAACTGGCATTAATGTGGCGGGACAAACATGAAAATATGCATTTTTAACAAGTTTTCACATCAAAGCTGCAGGTCTGGGGATCGAATTTTAAGAAGCACTGACATAAAATATGGTTTTTGAAAACAGTACTCTGAAAAAACTTTAAATAGAAAGAAAACATAATGCAAAGGGAAAAAACCATCTATGATTTCATACATGACAACTAATTTACACTTTGGTACCTAATCCTTCCACAATTTTTCTGTGCATATGGAAATACACACATACACATATATTCCTCTTACCAACACATTTTATAGTAACAGCAGCTATTAAGTATATAATGCCAGACACAGTTAATATGCTTTGTATTTTTCATCTTTTTTATTTTTTAGTAATTGAAGCTTTTCTTACATCATTATAGTCCCCATTGTTTTCCTGCCACCTTAATGACTTTGAGAATTTAAAAATGAAAATAGTTTAAATAATTTGCCTATGGTCTCACAACTAGCAAGTAGCAAGAAATGGCTAAACACTCCTATCCTGCACTTCATTTATAATTCGCTTTATTCCCCAAAACCAAGAGTAATTCTTCATACCCTTAACACATATTTAACAATCATTTTAATGACTATAACAACAACAAACATTTCCATAGAACTTTCTGAGTGTCAGGCCTTATTCTAAAATCCCATTAATCCTCACCTCTCTGAGATTACCCATTATGTGGGGCACCAGTTTTAACAATCCTCTATTATTGGCTGTTTATGTAGGTTGCTTTGCTATCATTAACATTAGTGTATTAAATTTCCTTGTAGGTGAAATGAATAACCCCAATGATTACTTCTCTAGGATAAGCAATTATTTGAACAAAAGTTGCCAAGTCTAAAGGTGTGAATACTCAAGGCTCATAGGAAGTCCGACAAATGCCGTCAAGAGAATCACCTGGGTTTCACTCCCGTCATCCACACAGAAGAGCAGCTGCTTTCCTACCTTGACATAACTGCAGACCCCTGGCCAGTGTCTTTAAACACAACTATAAACTTCATAGTATCAAGCAGAATCTTCTTATACAAAATATGCAAATTAAAAACATTAATATTCAGTACTCTAAGTATTAGAAACAGTTGAGAAAATATCTTACTCTATGCCATACCTACTAACCAGCATTGTATTCCTTGAAATGGAAGATTTAAAAAATTTGATGAGATCATCTGGAGTTCTCCCACAGTAACTTCCTCAGTATTTCCATAATCCACAAAATGTACTTTAGCGCTTCCATTTGGTAAGATTTCTTTGACTAAAGCACGGTACCAATTACCATCACCTAGATGAAGCACAGGGTATTTCCCTTCTGTTAATATTTGGAATTCTGTTAACAAATCTCTCTCTCTTCTCCAGTGATATACCTTTAGTTTTTCATTCAGAAACCCTTAATATGAGAATTCTTAAAATCCATTTGTAGAATATCTCCAACTTTTTATAGCACCATTTTTTACATCTGATGAAGACTAAGACTTACATTTGAGCATAATTATAATCTGGAAGACTTAAAATACCACAAGTGTGTTTATTTGACAAAGTAATATTAAAAAAGGGAAACAATTGCAATGAAATTACGTGTTCCATCAAATATATTAAGATAGACATTCACAGCATGGCCAAAGAATGTGCAGAACATTTTCCAGAACAATGAAAGTGCAGTGAGTAGTCATTATCAAATTTATTATAGTATTATGAGAAATTCTGGAAAGAAAAACGTTCACTGAAGTTTAACAAAGTTTAAGTAAGAAGAGTTTCATCAGGAGATTCCTTACTACAAAGAAGAAAAAAGATGCTACCTTAATATTCATCATATAATCTAAATTGAGTAAAGTATTTGCTTAACCACTAGGAAGAAAATAAGCTCTAAAAATAAGTGCTATGTCCCAAAACAAAAGGTTCTAATAAAGTCAAAATCTCACTAGCTACAACTTACCGGCAAAAAAGGCACAACAAGGTTGTCCCACTTCTGCCTTAAAATCATCAAGCAACTTCTGCTGGCAAAATTCTGTTAGTGATTTATTCAAATCGTTGAGTTTCTCTAACACTGAAAATATAATATACATGCAGCATTTAGTAGTTTCTTAAAGTGCAAAATACTGCCTTTCTGTTAAAGTGAGAAAATGTTTTGATCAGAGTCAAGTCCACTCCCAACCAGCCATTAACGGTATCAATTGCTTTCCCTTGTCCTTATTTTTTAAAAATTGGGCAAGTAGGTCATTATGTAGTGGACACTTAGGAAACCCATCCCATGGGCTACAGCAGGCAGCTATAGCCCTGTGGCCAGTGCATCAGCAACTGTGGGGCGAGGCAACGTACAACCCCGGATGGAAGGATGCTGCAGGTGAGCTGGTCTGCAGGCGTGTACCAACGGGGTGACAGACCAGCTCACCCCAAGGGAATTCAGGGCGGACCTCCATGTGCTACAGGTCTCAGAAATTTGAAGACATTTTTGGTACAACAGAAGGTATTCTAGAAGAAGGAAATGGTCCTGAGGCAGAGAACAGAAATAAATGGCCAGAAATCACTTAGTGGAAGAAGTCTGACAAAACAAGGACAGGAAAGGACACCAAAGATGCTTGGAAAAGCATAACCAGACCATGGAGAGCTTTGTAACACCAAGGACCTGACACCATACAAAAGATAATAGAAATGGAAATTATAATGAATTACAAGTTTCTCCTTCCAGAAGAGCCAACATAAAAACGCTTATGGCCACGCACTGGCATACTGTGAGAAGAGGCACTGCCATGCATTGCTGGTGGGAGAAGCCTGGCCAGACTCTGGGTGCCAGCTCTCCAAAGCACAAGTGCATGTATCCTTTGACTAAACGGTCACAATTTTAGGGATTGTTCCCAAGGATGTGCTCTCAGAATAAAATCACAGGGTACGAAGACTGCTTTGTAATACAAGCTCGGAAACACTTCATTTCTCCACTTCTAAGTTAACTGAATCAGAATAAATCCACACAGAGGAGTAGCATATAACCAGGAGGAAGAGAAAAATGGAATCAAACAGCAATGTGGTATCCTGAGTGGATCCAGAAAACAATAAGGACATTAAGAAACGGAAAGGAATAGCTCATGAAATCCGAATAAATTCTGGAGCTTAGTTAATACTAATGTCCCAATGAGAGTCTCTTTGCTCTAATGAATATGCCTCTACATAGATGCTAACTACAGAGGACGTTAAGTGCAGGATGTACAGTAACTCTCTGTGCCAGCTTATAGCTATTCTATACATCTAAAGTTACGCCAAAATAAAAGGTGCATAAGCGTACACCTTAAAACAATGGCGAAAACAAAGTGAAAGGATATCTAAAATACAGTGGGAGAAAAAAACAACAACAGAACAAAGCCTAAAAACCACTGATGGCATGTTACCATTCATGCATAAATAAAAGGAACATAGACAGTCATACAAACATACATGTATAGACAACTTCTAACAAGACTTAGGAAACTGAGAAGAGGAACCGGGGAGCTTACTTTCCACCGTTTATCTTTGGAATTTTGCATCCTATTTTGTGCAATCTCCCATGAAATAATTTAAAGGCAATTTTAAAATTTTAGCCCACATGAAATAGTGACTTAAGTACCAGGTGATTTTGAATGAAAAGAGAACATAGCTCACTCACTGGGAGCCAAACAGGTTCTTAGTTACTATCTCAATGAACATCCTCATCTGACTGAAAGAACAAGTTTTAGAGGCTAACAGGCAATGTTGTTCATCAGGATGGCTCAAATAAAATGCAATGAGAAGAAAGTGTGGGGAGGCAGAGCAACTGCAACTCTCAGACCAACAGCTGTCACAGGCACGTTGACTTTCACTAAGCAAAGCAGAAAATACATATAACCTTTCAAGTACAGCCAATGATGTCACTCTAGGTGTACAGTGGATGGGAATGAGTGGAAAGGCAAAAAACTGTACAAGAGTTCTTATAACACCATTTTATAGCTCAGAACTGAAACAGCCCCAGTGTCCAAGAGCAGAAAGCAGTTAACAACTTGCAGGGTTTCCATACAGTGTGGACAAGAGCTACACACAGAAGCAGCCATGGACCTCATGTGGGAGCGGGAGGGCACAGAAAGGTTGGGCTCACTCCATGGTGCAACGCTCCAAGCCAGGAAGGCCTTATCTATGCCTTTAGAAGGGAGGTTAAAAAAGTTTTCAAGATTTATTTACTTATGTATGCATACAAGAACTGGGGTGTAGGCCAGAAGAGTGGGGTAGGGATGAGAGGATTCACCAGAGAGAGAGGGAAGCAGAACAGGCAGATCTATTGAAATACACTGCTGAGGGGCTCAGCAGGCAGGACAGGAGAGGTCTGCTGCGCCATGTGGTCACCTCTGGGGCAGGAATCGAACTCAGACCCCAGAGGTGATAGTGCTGGGACTGACCCTCTGCCACCAGGGAGGCCCTTTTTAGTTTTGAAAGAGAGAAAGGGTAGGGGTGGGAGGAGACATAAAGGAAACCTCTGGGTTAATGATAATGTTTTATATTTTGAGTGCAAGAACTGGTCATACAAATGCTCTGACTCTGTGGATCCCTTGTTATGCTGCATTTTTAGTTGGACATTTATTTGTAATAAATTTATTTAAATAAGTTAAACAACTGAGCTTTCAAAAATGAATCTGGGAGATAGTCTATAAAATCTAACTGGGCCTACATGTACAGGGAGGCTGTGGACAATGACAAGAGCAGCTTAAAATGAGTAAGTGGCAAAGTACCACCAAATCTCTCCTGGGTCTACATACAAATTCCTACTTTCCTCCTTGGTTCCTTCTAGGAAAGAGAATACTTTATATCCAGTGAACGCAACTTGCTTCCTCCGCAGCAATGTATGCGTAAAAGAAATGAGCCAAAGTCCTCTTACCGTCCTCTCTGAGCACGTGGCAGTAGAATTCCCCAGGACTGTACAGCACACAGACCACAACGTCCACTGTTTGGTCAACTGCAAGTTCAACCCACGTCCACTCCAATGGATTAACGTTTGTTTCAACACCCAAGGGAACTGTGAAAATAAAACATTTTGCAAAACAAATGGGTCGAGTGAGGGTGGAAGGTGGAGTTGCTGACGGGTCCATTAACTAAAGAACTGAACTTTTAATGACTTTCTAAGAAAGTGCATCCATCTTACAATTAAACATTTCACTGAATTTCATAGCTTAGACTCAGGTAACTGTTCTTCAGCTGCCAGTAACTCACAACTCTTGCCAGATTCTACACCCTTGTCCATACTTTGACATACTCAGACGCATGCTTGACTTAGTTAAAAGATGACAGCTACTCAGCTATCAATTCGTTCTGCAGTGCAAGAATCAACGAGCACAAAAACACCTGCGGACATCACCTGTTGGCACCTCACTCACCACCGGCCTCCTTCACGTCGCTGGCTTTCTCTGTCACTGCGCCCGGCTCCCCCACGGCAAAGCCTGCGTCTATGAGGACTTGCGTAACACTGATGTTAGGCGTCACTGACTTGTCTATGAGCTCCACCACAGAGCTGTTTTCCAATTTTTCAGCCACTTTAACTGTGATCATTTTGTTCTGTACAATTTTTTTCATCAGGCAAATAGCTTCTGGAGTCCAAATTCCTAATGATGGCTTTACTCCTAGCAAAGAATTTTTAAAATGGTAAACTATTTCTTACAGCCAAGTATTCACAATTTAGCTCCAAATTTCAACAAAGGTAAGCTGAGGTAATCTATGACAAACACTGGAGCCAAAAAGTTCCACTTGAGTAGGAGGGCTTTGTAAGTGGGCACGAAGGCAAAATTACAAAGAAGTTTGTAGAAAGCACCTAGCCTTCTATGTAAAAATGCATCATAGTTTTACCAGTGACAAATATCCAAAAAGTGAATCTATGAAGATAGAAAAGTAGATTATTGGAGGCTGGAGAGGGGAGCTGACTATAAAGTAAACACAGACATCTTTGGGGGGTGAAGGAAATCCAGTTCTAAAACTGGATTATGAAGATGCTTGTACAACTAAGTAAGTCTAATTAAAAAAAAAAAATCACTGAAATTTATACAAGATCCACCAGGGAGCAGCTTGTTTCCTGTAAAAAGTTCATGTTGTGGTGTGTAAATTTCATCTTACTAAAACTGTTAGGGAGCCATGGAGGTATAAAACAATCCAAGAAGAAATGCTGGAACCTTGTAATAAATACATGAAACATTTGTAGCACTTCTGAAAAGGGCAATTAGAAATCAACAACCCAACCTTTATTCATAGCTCATGAAGTATAGAAGCCAAGTAATTTATTTTAAGTTGTTAGCTTCACTGGTTATCAACTGCAATGATTTCTTTTTGACATCATCAAAATTGGCCAAAATGAAGTAATACAGAAATATCTAATCAGTATAGTGGTGTGTGAGGGGGCTGTCTCCCTCTCCCCACTACTGGAAAGCGCAGAGACTCCTTTCTGGAAAACAGCCAAAGTATGTATCGCGGTCAGGAAGAAACATGGAACTGCCTGAACCCTCCGTCCCACCTGCCTCTGTGATTGCCAAACTCTGGCTTTGCAACCCAGCCTAAGGAAATAGCCTTGGGAGGCTGTAAAATGCAACTGAAAGAATTTTAAAATATCCTTCTGGTAACTAGGACATCTGAATAAAGCTTCTGATGCTAGGACATCTGAATAAAGCTTGCAGAAGCCAATTTTCCAACAGGGAAAGACATCCCTGGCGCTAGTGTGATCAATATTACAGTTAACTTCTAGGAATATTACCATGGTGCTCATAATGTTCTTAATGATTTTACTAGCAAATTTCCTCCTACTTCATGTAGTTAATGGGCTTCTACAGTACTTCTACAGTATAATGTAGGCCCTAGAAACAGCAAAAAAGAATATTCAACTTAAGGCCAGAGATACATTAAAGTTTATTTAAATACATATGTGAAACAATCATCTGTAATAATTAAGGATTAATTTTGCACAAAGAAAACATTCCTTTATCTCAGTAGTTACATTTCAATTCTAATATTCCTACTTTAGGCTTTAGTACTTTAATAACATGGGGATTATAAACATTTCTTACCTGCCAACACACACTTTATAGCTTGCATTGGCAATTCCAGCAACTTTGGGGTTATGGGACAAAGTCTCGTTAGACTGACAATTTCAAAATTTCCATAGTCCACATATCCGACCAGCACAGAGTCTTCGGAAGCATAAGCCAACACGGAGGCCCGGTACCACTGATAGTCCTCTGAAAAAAGAGAGCTGCAGCCTTAAATAACTTTCCAATTTCCGTGGAACATTTCCCCCCCAAATTTAAAATGTTCAGCTGTAGATTTTAACATCACATCGGTTTGTGGACCATGGGTGCTTATTAAACACTACTTGTGCGTCTCAGCAGACTTCAACTCCGAAAACGCCGTCTGGGTGTCCTGTACAGACTACTCAGGCCACAGGCGGTGACAGTCACACTCCTGGTGGTCTCCAGCTCATCAGCCGGGAAACACGTCCCCTTTCGTGACTCTGAAAGATCTCAACCAAACTACAGGACTGACAGAAACGTAAAAATCTTCTTTATCAGCTCCCGTACCTGGCCCCCAGGTCATCCTTCCTGGGGCTCCAAGCTTACCAAAAAACTAAGTGGTATCAAGCCGCAAGGTGGTAGTGCCCCAACTGCTGTCTGAACTGGTCCTGCCTAGTTATCAGGGAGGAATGTTGGTCACACCCGTCTTACCTGAGAACTGAGCACAACAGATGTCACCAATGGTTGGGTAAAAATCGGTGCGTGGAGACACCTGACGGCAGTACTCGCTGAGGGATGTCTGAAGTTCTGCGAGTTTATCTGCAGATACAGACCACATCTTCAACAAAAGAAGTTAAGTATCTACACAATTATCTTCATTTGTGCAGTGAGTCTCTTATTAAAGTATGTTATCCTGATCACACTGACAGAGGAAATTTACTCACGTCCACTTTGTAGTTGTTGGCAAAAGAAGTCTTCTGGGGTCTGAACATGCGCCACTACCCCACAGAACTCATCCCCTACATCCAAGGCTAACACCTTGGGGATCAGGTCACTTCTGTCGATAACAACTTTGTTTTCAGCTGTCATTTTTCGAACCCCTTCAGGGTCGCCTGATCAGTAAAGAGAAAAATAAACCTTTTTGGTTTCATCAGGTGGTGTGTCTTCCCCAACCGTGCAAGCTGTACTTCCCCCAGGGCACACTGTCAGTTCCCAGACACGCTACTTTCTGTTCTTTTGTGGAGTCCTCCTGGAGAGGATTCCCTCTGTGTCGGCTTACATGCTACTCCCCGGGGCGCCCACTCCAGCTGCACTCACTGTCACCCTTGGTGTAACTTCTCCAAGGGGCTGCACAGTCCTCAGGGCACCCAGCATGAAGACACCTCCACAGAGCCTCTTTTGTTCTACTCACTGGATACCCCTTGAAGCACCTGCCACTCTGATGGCTCCCTCCTAGAACCTTTCTGTTGCTCTGTTATTCTTAAGACGCACAGCAGAGAGAACCCAGGAACCATTGCATTTTGTTTATATATCTATTAAGATGTATTTTTATATATGCATACAACAACTGGGGTGTAGGCCAGAGGTGTAGGGGGGAGATCTATTCGAGACGGAGTGGGGAGCATAACAAGTGGATCCACTGAAATACAGTGCTGAGGGGAGCAGCAGGCAAGACAAGAGAGGTCTGCTGTGCCATCTAGGTCAGTTCCCTGGCCGGGGATCAAACTGGTGCTGCAGTGTCTGGCACGCCATGGCGATCATTTGATGGCAACATCTCCATTCTCTACCCACGTTTCTCATCTCTCAATTGTGCAGGCCCCAGACCTAGCACCCTCACTCCACACTCTCTCCAAAGAAGCCACCAGCACATGTGCTGTCGTCGTGACGACCACTAGCCCAGGACATATCTGCTGTACTCTAGAGGGCAAAGAGCTATGCCAAGTTTCCTAGCAGAGTTGCCACACCAAGATTTGTATGTTTTAGGGCTATCACACATGCAGTACTGTTACAACAGAGAAAGCAAAAGACAGAATTAAATATTTCATTTTTCCATGAGTGATGAAGATTCTTGAACTCAGAAAATGAGAATAGAGAAAGAAAGGGGAAAAAAGACATTTACAAAGGATTTTTAAAGAAGAATCAAAAAAGACTATGCAACCAAAATGCAGACAGAGCAAGCGCTAGAAGGTGAGGGGGAAGTAGCCTAAGGGTGGCTGGAGTTTCTGTGACATGTGGCAAATCACAGCATGCTCATCTGGCATCATCCCTGGGCGGATGACTAAGCTGATGAAGTGTGTCCACATGTGAAGTGACTGGCAGAGGAGAAAGCAGACTATAAAACAAAACACATAAGGCTAGACGAGAAAGTAAAATGCTGATAGCAAACTGCTTGGTTCTCATAACTACTAAATGAAAAACCACTCACACAAATAATAAAAATTGAAGGAGAAACAGCATTCTACTAGAACAGAGTGCTACATCCCTATTCATTATTGCTGGAATACTCAGCCAGGTAAGGAAGGAAAACAAAGGCAACGTTAGCTAAATAACCTCAACTCAAACTGTCAGCATACTTAGCATTTTGTAACTGCTGATAACTATCAGGTCAAGGATTAATCTGGAAAATAGGGAAAATGGGCAGCTTGAAGAGTAAGAAAAATACATAACAAAATGAAAAAATATCATCTTTCTATATAAAGTTCATAGAATGGTCACCGTTGCCATGAAGTCTGAGTGTGACCATTGTACTTTAAGTGTTTAGTTGAAAAGGCACCTTCAATAACTGAAGTCACTGTTAAGTTTACTTGTCTACTTACTTTCATCTGCACTTTGCTGCTTAGAATTTTGTTCCTTTGATTGCAGGCCATATCCCATTTCTACAAGCACATGGTCTAAGGGTTTTCCTAAAAAGGATTAAGAAAATATATCAAGAGATATTATACCAAGACTTAAAGGAAAAGCAAAATAGAAAGTATTCACAATAATCCAATTTGTAGACTATATCTGGCATATTTTTCACCAATTCAGTTTCTATGTGCAAGAGTTTAGTGATGCTCAGCTTTAAAAATTAAGGAAAAAATTCCACTACTACAGAAAATTCAAGAAAAAGATTACATTTCAAAAATTCTGAGCAATACAAAAGAGTTTATCACCTCACATACTTACAATGATCACCAATAATGAGAAAAGATAAATTTAAGACAGAAAAAAAACACTTTTTTCTTAAAAGTATGATTGAAAAAAGCTACCCAGCATTTACATGAAGTTCTTGCAAATAATGTCTAAAAGCTGAAGTCATAACATAAAACATATATAGTTTAATATACATATACATGTTTATATATTTCACGTCAGGATTAACTGATGGGAATAACATATACAGAAAATTAAACTAAAACTAAAACTAACATACACATCAAATTAAAAACTAAATGGGGGGAGTGACTGACTGCCCCCAGTCACCAGGCAGCACTGAGTTTCTAACAGCAGAGGAATAGCCAGCGGAGCTGGGCAGCAACAAGCTCACTCTCAGAAGTTACATTCAAACACACGTAAGGACAGAGTGACAGGACAGGACTCCAAAGAGTCTCCATTTCCACAACCTGAAAACTACAAACGTGAGGTCTCAACACTGACAAAAAACAGTCCTATGAAGGCTGTTCAAAGAAAAGGCACTGATAAGAAATGGATGAATTCAGAGAAATCCTTGAACCCCTCAGTACAGCAGAAAGCGAAGTAGATACTCCAGTGCCTACACTAAAAGGATACTTCGCTACGACTGTCTACAGCTACACTGTGATCCACCCAATCCAGCACATTTGTGTCACGTCTGACAAACAGCTGAATATAAACACAGGCCCAAAGCCACATTTTCCAGCAGTCTGAATGGCTTCAGAGTAGACTTCACATGACTTCTCTTCATGCTGCTATGTCTTCCCTCAGTGAATGGTAGCCACTAACTAGCATGTGAAATGCTCCCCTAAGAATGATTGCGCTCTTACCTGAACTCGGCAGTATAATATCAACAGCACAAGTAACCACTTCCTCCTCTAATATGTCAACTATCTTCAAAGAGCAGTACTGCTCCATTAACAGCGATTTCACAGTTTTTATACAATCATTGCTCCAATTCCCCTCTGCTGGGATAACACTGGCTAGAAAGCACTTTATAGCCTGGAAGATTTTGCAGAAGTTAATAAAAAAAAAAAGTTACTTGAAAATGATAATTTCTAATTACTTATATAAAGATTTTATTTTTTAAAAGATTTATTTACTTATGTATACAGAACTACGGTATAGGCCAGAGGCTCAGGGGCGGTGAGATGGTTCACCAAAGACAGAGTGAGGAGCAGAACAGACAGATCAAGAAGTACACTGCTGTGGGGGGCAGCGGGAGAAACAGGAGTGGGTCACCTCTGGGGCCAGGGATCGAACTCACACTGAAGCGGCTGTGGCTAGCTTGCAGTGTGCCATGCCCTAACCAGTTCACCACCAGGAAGGGCCAAGATTTTAAATACAACATAGTTCATGCTGAAAAATTTCAAAAACCTCCAAATACTAATTAACAACTTTATGTGCAATTATTTGTCTCTGTTGGTACTCAATACACAATGCTTTTCCTTTTGGGACTTTAAGACATTCAGGAAAGAATATCCCTTAGCTATATACCGTAAGTTCAAGTTGCTTTAAAAAATAAGCATAGCAGAATCCAACAAGCAAATATTGTGTATCAAAACATTAAAAAAACAACTCCTTGGGGGCACTATTAGGAATTTAGTAAGAGACTCACACAAGGAGGAAGCAAGTCAATGCTTCTGTTTAGTTGGTGAATTCTGTTTATTGGAATCATTTCTTCATTCCCATAATCAATATATAAGACTTGTACCTTCTTCTGCAGCATATCAATATCTTGTATTATTACTCTGTTCCAGGTCTGAAAGTGAAATAAAATGGTACTCAGCTTCAAAATGGCATCTGACAATTTTAGGTTAAAAAACTCTCAACCAATTTACAGAACATGCAAAGAAAAGTCTTCTGTCCTGAGGCATTCAATTAACTTAATTTTCTGAGCCTCTTACTAAGAAATCCCCCGAACTGTATACTCAAGATATCCCAGCCCCGCAGACCTGATCACACGCAAATAGCAAAAAGTCCTAAGACAAGGAATTGGTCTGTAACTAGCAACTGAGGAGTCTTTCAACAGAGCTGAAGAGGATGGGGCCGGAGGGAAGGATGGCACAGACCCGCTCTACTGACAGAGTGGTGGGGTCTCACTTTAAAGCACCTGATGCTTCACTAACATCTTCGGTGTCAAGCTGGCATGACCAAAGTCAGTGGAAACATCTCGTTAGGTATTTCACTTCATCAGGGGTTACCTGGTCAACAGTGTACTTGGCAACACAAATTTCTCCCTTGACAGGAATATAGTCCTCTTCATGGGCCACATTTGCATAGGTTTCCTTTAGGCTCACAGACAGCTGGTTCATGTATTCTAAAATTTCTGAAGAATACAACTGCACGTAAAAGTGACCTGGGTGTTTGAATTCAGTAACAGTGCCCTTTCAAAGATAAGAAAGATGTAATAATTCACTGAGAACACAAGCAAACTGTAAAAGACACAAAAATAATAGGCAGTTTTGCACTCATATTCTTTATCGGTTTCATTAGTTATATTAGAGTGATTTTATGAACTCAAATTTAAAAAGGAAACAGAATGAGAAACAAGGCAATAAACATTTATAGTTCTTGGCTCTCTATGGAAATGAAACAACAAATACCTTTATTTCCATGGTTTTCCTGAGTTGTAGGCTTTTCAAATCAGAAAACATTATTTTATCAGCACAAACAGCTACTTCCTTAGTAACTCCAAGTGGGTAGTCAGTCTGGATTGAAAAAACACATAAGTTACATACAAGCACGATTCAATGACACTTTGGCCACTATTCACTGGAATAGAGGCCAAAATATCCTGACTCTCAGGTTTGAAGAAAGAGAGTAGAGAATACATGCTCCCTCAAGAGTCACTGAACCCCATCCAGTTAGTGCACACAGCACTGGCTCCGGCCAGGAATCAGTCGTGATCAGGATGATGCTGATATGACCGAGCACAAGTAATTCTACCCACACCAAGATAAGCCAACACAAATCATTTCTGGAAAAAGGCTCAGCATGAACACTGTTCAAAGATCCTTCCCCATCCAAACAGCTGCCAAAATAATCACTAGAGTGTACAGGTTTATTCAATAAGAAACTTGTCCAGTAAACACTACTGTGGTGTAAAGATGAGTCATAAGTATTTTACTTAGCTTACAGATCTTTGTAACTCAATAAAGAGTCATTCAGGGGCCTCCCTCCCTGGTGATTCAGGGGTTAAAGACAGTGGTACCAAGCAATCACCAGCCATTGCAACAGGAGTTCCATTCCCAACCTGCCAGGGGCTGACCCACATGAGCTAACCCACAGGGCACAGCAGACCTCTCCTGCTTCCCTAAGCAGTGTATTTCAGTACATCTGCCTGTTCTGCTCCCCACTCTGTCTCTGGTGAATCCTCTCACCTAACCCTCCACCCTCCAGCTCTGGCCTACATCCCAGTTCTTGTATGCGTAAATAAAAAAAAAAAAAAAAGAGATGTGAAAGGCAAAAGTAACCATACCTTGTTTTTCACTTCCATGTTCTCTTCAAAAGGTGATTTATTATCTTCAACTTTGTTGAGACTGAAATACAGCAATGATTACAATCTATAAGAGTACTAAGCCAAGAAAAGGGGTCATAAATTACAGTAATGTTAAATTCTCAATCAAAAAAATCTAGAAAAGCATAAAACAACTTATGGCAGATCAAATCACAGTGGGAATGAAGACAAACCACCCAACACTGTTCATCCGATGGCTTCTCCCAAAGGCCATCTAATGAAAGGGAAAAACAGAGATAATCTTTACATTGCCCAAACAGGGTTCTGAGGATCAAATGAGACTTGTAAATGTGAATTTTTTTTAAATTAATTAATCTGTTTTTACATTGTTCTTCATTTTTGTATGATGTCAGATTTCTCCTCTCTCCCCATAAAATTACCACACCAAGACACTGGTGAGCCATCATCAGAGATCCTATGCTCTCCTCTCCCATTGTGATCTCTTTCCCTCCCCCTGTATATGCAGAACAACCTGTAGCTGGAAAATATTATGCAAATGAGATTAAAGTATTATAAAATCACAACTCAATATAAACTGTCAGGTCCATCTTACTAAAATTCATGAAATCATACAACATTAAAAGCAAGGCATTGTAAAACTCTAATCATTAAAAGAAATCCCTTATGGTCCTAGACTTGAATATGCATATCTAATAAAATTATATTTGTAAAAACGCCTATATCTGTAGAGATTTTCACTTCAGATTTATATATCCTGTTATACCTCAATAAGCAAAAGGCAATGACTTGTACAAAGCAGTGGTCTGCTTACCTGATCTCAACCTTATTCTATCAAAAAAACTTTTTTAAAATACTCTTATAAAAAAAAGAAAAAAGAAAAATACCACTGACCTTGGCTGAACAGGCTTGCACACAATGCTGTGTGCAGACCAGTCTCTCCGCTGGCAGGCTACCGAGCAGTAGTACGTCTGCTTGCACTGCGAGCATCTCAGGGAACCTGTGACATAGCCGCAGTCTCATCAGTGTCTCATTCCAAATATTCGACAAGTTAAACACCATTCTATCAAGCGCATCAAGAACATTATTTGAAGAGAATGACACTGTTTATCAAAAGTTAAGATCAAGCTTCTAAAGTGCTCTCAAAATGCAGAGAAAGGGCGCAGCGATGACAGGAGGAAGGAGAGGCCGGAGATGTATCCGGAGATGTATCCAACTTTCCTTCAGTAGCCCCCAGACAGGTATTATAAAAGGAGCAATGAAAGAGTTGGGAAATTCTGTCCTCATGAAAACAAGACTACACAGCAGACTTGCACAGGTTGAACATTGCGCCATTTAACAAGCACGAAAGGAACACCAGTGAGGTGAAGCATGACACTCGGGAGAAAAACAGCAATATTTTGAAAATAAAGTACTACAAGCAGCCAGATCAGTGCCCAAGCAGAAGAAAGCATCGTTTAAAAAAGAGCTAATAAAGGGCCCTCCCTGGTGGCGCAGAGGGTTAAAGTACAGCACTAAGAAGCTCAAGCCACTTCCTCATGAGTCTGATCCTGCCTGCCCCGGAGGAGGAGATCCACATGGCTAGGCAGGCCTCTCCTGACCCGCCCCCTGCTCCCCTCAGTTACTTACTTCATGGATCTACCTGTTCTGCTCCCCACTCTCTTTCTGG